AAAAAAAAAAAAGCCTGCGTCAATTTCAAAATTAAAATAAGAATAAAAACGCCAAAAAAAAAGAAAATAACAGAGTTACAAAAGAAAAAATGAAACAGCCCTTTGCACAACCTTATGAACATAAATGCGTGTTGCACACCATTTAACATATTTTGTAATGTACATTTATACGCAAAAAAAATAAAATAAAATAAAAGCGGCAGCACTATGTACTGTATACACATATATGTTTTCCTTCGTACAAGCATTACATTCTTGTGCACACTTTTGACTAATCCCCAAGTGTGTCGTATTTCCGAACAGCTACACGTATTCATAAGTAGATGTCTTCATTTTACCGATTAATTCTCCAGCTCACACAGGTTAAAAATTGTTAAATTTCATGCTCTGAACGAATCCACATTTTTGTTCTCTGTCAAAATGTGTTCGTTACATAACGGTAAACAAAAGTTTTTATGGAATATAAAAACAGCCAATAAATGATTTGAACTGTTCCAAACATGTAGGGCACACCTCTTCGTTTGCCTTCCTAGCCACAACATTGTGCGAGAGTCAACCATTCGATTAGCTAGCCTAGCACTCAACAAAAATCAACTTGTCATCCCTTTTGTTAATTTTGTCCTATATAATAGAAATGCTAATGCAAAATAAATTAACAATACAAATCTGTTTTTTGCGGCAATTCAGCTTTCAGTGTCCCCATTTAATAGCTTAAAAAGAAAAAAAAAAAGCACTCTTGAATGAGAATGGTGGTTTAACCAGTAATCCATGTTCTATAAAAAAAGTATTCCTATACATTCGAATTCATATAGGTGTATATACAAAAATGCATGTTCATGCATACATGGGTATACTTCACACCTCGATAACACACAAATGGCCAAAACGGGGTCAGCGTAAAACACGCCCCTCGTCTACTATCAGAAAAGAACAACAAATAGGAAGAATGCGTGTAATATTTCTACAAGTTGTTCTTTTACATACTAAATAGATAAACGCTGACGAAAAATGCTTAAAAAAAAGAAATTTGTTTGTAATAATCGAAAATACAATTTGTCTAATTCACGATCAAATGCGTATGGCGCAGGCAAAAAAAAAAAAAAAAAAAAAAAAATTTCATGCAA